AAGGTGAAAAAACATCAATTGTTGCCTAAGACGTCATTACAGGGGACTGCAAATACTGATGAATTATCGGCACCGCAAATAAACTGTAATATAACATCGAAGAATTCGTCAGAGGCCAATGCTAGAATTAAAAGTGGTAACAAACTGCGGAGACTTGGACAGGACAAGTCTTCTCCCACGATAGAACTATTACAGAAACCCAAAACAGAATCCAATCGATTTGGTGCTCGAACATATACCGGGAAACAACAGTCAACACATCCTAGAACTGAGAAAGAGGCTGTGTCCTATCCTGGGAGAGAAAACAAAACTGAATCTAAAGTCAGTAAGGACAGTAACAAGGCTGCCATAGCAACAGTCGTGGTGGTGAGCAAGACACAGACGACACAGCCAATGCTATCTAGGTAAGGACTGTAATATCTTTTCTGTTTAGATGGTTTGAAAAATTTGATTTTATTACGACTATGAGTAAAGTCCTATGCAGAATAAAAAGTTTGTTACACCCACAATTTTGCCCTTCCCAGCAAGACTTATTTTTTAGATATTCTGAGTCATGTTGAAATCTCCCAAATCAAGTTGAGTCGACTTGTTAATTGCTGGGGATGGGTCGGTCTTCAAGAAACATGAATCTCTATCAACTTGTGCGTTTGATTTTAAACAGTTGGAGAATAACTATGGGTCACTAATTGTTTAGATTACCCATGATGCATGTTTGGAGGGGTGTATGTGTAGATTTATTAACATTGAGCCATTTAACACTGTGAAACACTTGAGAGAGTATGTGTATTAAGTGAGATCTCAGTGTTTTCAGCATTTTCTGTCATTTGTTTAATTTGAGCACCAAGCATCCATAGACTCTTGCTTTTCCTGTGTGTTTACTAATGTCCGCGTCTTCTTCCAATTAGACCAGATGGCTGCTGCTTACTGTCTTTCTCTTTCTATCTAATATTGCATCAATGTTTGTATCTACATTCACAACCAAAATGTTAATTATATTATGCATTTTAAACCGTGTCTGTACAAATATTTGAGGAGTTTTCTCACCAAATTAATGCAATACCATTATTGAATTAAATTTATATCATTTTTTTTTGGAACATCAATGAATTTGCGAATGAGTTTGGGTGTTTTAGTGATTTATGTTTTGGTTGAGTTTCAGAAAGATAACTGCATACCTACTGTAAATAATTTAACTTTCGCTGCAAGAAATACTTATGATTTGCCGGATTTTTTTTTTAGGACAATTAAGTCACCACTGTGTTATATAAGACCTCCGGAGAAATTATCACTGCTATAAAGCAATTATAACTGATTTGAAAAATGTTGTCTCGTGAAACGTTTACAGTACCCTCAGTAAAAGATATAGCATTTGTATTGAATCCTATCTCAATTTATAAATTGTCTCATTTCATGGTGGATCCTCTACAATTTCTATGAACTTGTATGAACCCACATTTTGTTAAATTTTAAACACTCCTCCCATTCCATCATTGGTTTGTAGGGAAAAGGTTTTTCTGCGCTCATTTATATTATACTGTATTTGCTCTATTAAAAATGTGTTTCTAATAAAAGCAAAATAAACAAAAAATTGTATTTTTTCTTGCTGCATCATAACACTATGACTTATTTGATTGCTTGTACTGCTAATAGAGCAAATACTGTACATGCTGTATTTTGTTAAAATTTAAACATGTGTTCCATTTTCACCCTGGCAAACATGCAGGCTTAAACTTTGGAGAAGGTAAACAATGCTTGTTTTGTCCCTTTACCCCCCATTATTAAATGGTACCACTCATCCATCATAGGGTCATTCCATAGTATCATTCATTATGGGGGGTAACAGGGTTCTTAGTTTGCACTTACAATGCATATGCTGCACTTTTGTTCATGTTTAAAATGTCATCCTATAAAACTGTCATGTTCATCTAAAACTGTCATGTTCCTTCAAAACTGTCATGTTCATCATCCAAAACTGTCATGTTCATTATCCAAAACTGTCATGTTCATCACCCAAAACTGTCATGTTCATCACCCAAAACTGTCATGTTCATCATCCAAAACTGTCATGTTCATCATCCAAAACTGTCATGTTCATCACCCAAAACTGTCATGTTCATCACCCAAAACTGTCGTGTCCATCTTCCAAAACTTTCATGTTCATCTAAAACTGTCATGTTCATCATCCAAAACTTTCATGTCCATCTTCCAAAACTTTCATGTTCATCTAAAACTGTCATGTTCATCATCCAAAACTTTCATGTTCATCATCCAAAACTGTCATGTTCATCTAAAACTGTCATGTTCATCATTCAAACTTTCATGTTCATCACCCAAAACTGTCATGTCAATCATCCAAAACTTTCTTGTTCATGTAAAACTGTCATGTTTATCATCTATAACTGTCATGTTCATCATCCGAAAATGTCATGTTCATGTTCAAACTGTCATGTTCTAACCAAAACTGTCATGTTCCTCCAAAACTGTCATGTTCATCATCCGAAACTGTCATGTTTCATCATCCAAACTGTCATCTTTCTTCAAAACTCATGTCTATCATCCAAAACTGTCATGTTCATCATCCAAAATTGTAATGTTCATCCAAAACTGTCATGTTCATCTTTCAAAACTGTCATGTTCATCACCCAAAACTGTCATGTTCATGTTCAAAACTGTCATGTTCATCACCCAAAACTGTCATGTTCATCACCCAAAACTGTCATGTTCATGTTCAAACTGTCATGTTCATCATTCAAAACTGTCATATTCATCATCCAAATTGTCATATTCATCATCCAAATTGTCATGTTCTTCAAAACTGTCATGTTCATCATCCAAAACTGTCTTGTTTTAATAATTGCATTTTACATGTTTATGTCACTTTTTCACCACATTTTTA